GAACTAGTAGTGTTCTCCAAGTACTAGGATGACATCGCTACAATAAGTGTTCATTGTCGCCCTAGGATAGAAAATACGTGTGCAGAGGGGTATAGCCTACAAGGGGAGTAATAATGCCCTTCTGGTGTAGCCTGGTGTCCATCCTTCTAGAGACGGGGCATATACACAGAGCTTATTCCCCAGGGCATCTTCCGCACACAAATCAGTGAATGTTAATGTCACTGTACAAGTCAAATGGAAGTGTCAGTAATGCTCATAGTTCTAGTGCAGGGGGTCTCAAATCTCCGGCCCTCCAGCTGTGGTGAAACTACAAATCCCATGATGCATCTCTCTTCGGGAGTCATGTCTGTGGCTGTCAGAATCTTGCAGTGCCTCATGGGATTTGTAGTTCCACCACAGCTGGAGGGCCGGAGGTTTGAGACCTCTGTAAATCTAGTGTATGTATCGCCTGTTTTTTTTACATTGTGGATATAGTAAGGAAGAGTTAGGATTTCTATTAGGTTATTTTATGTCATCTGTGTCCTGCTAGGCAGATTTCCCTTCACTTTCTGTCTTGAAGATGCAACAGGAAGGGAGAGGCAATCTCCCTAAATGTGAATCTCTGCTTTAAACAGCTGTCATCAGAACATTTGTTCCCACTGGAAGATTGCCACTTGTTCTCAGGGCAAGACAAAAATGTATGATTTCCCCTTTCTTTCTTGGCGACAGAGGTGAAATAGAGGGTTGAATCACATCAGCGGTGACATAAAGCACAATAAAAGTTGCAGGGGGTCCAACCCTTCCCTATTCGATCTATAAATATCCTCCCTCCCGGACAGAGAGATACAAAGAGTGGCACACTGATCACTCACCTACAATGACCGGGTGCATGAGCAGTTGCCCCACTAGGCCACTGATCATCTGTGTGAGGGAGCTTGGAGCAGCCTAGGAGACAAACAAAAGGGGTGATAAATACATCAACAGAACCACAACCCAGGAAACAAATACAGAGCTCCTATACACACATGTAAACTGCTTTCCCTCCCAAAATGTTTTTTTAAAATTCTGTGCAATCACTTACGATTCACAAACTTCTACTACGCTGACCAGCAAAACAGTTTAGAGCAAGGGGTAGGCAACCTCGGTATTCCAACTGTGGTGGAACTACAGATCCCATGAGGCATTGCAAGGCTCTGACAGCCACAGACATGACTCTCAGAGGCATAATAGGTTTTGTAGTATTACCACAGCTGGAGCGCTGAGGTTGCCTACCCCTGCCTTGGAGATCTGTACTACAGATGTGACGCTATTTATCTGGAGCTCTGGTGTAACTATACGCAAAAAGAAAACCTTTAAAGCGTACCTATACCTGCCTCCTCTCCAGCAATGTGAAGTCCGGCATCTTCAGCCACCTTGATTGGTCCCCCCGGGATGACTTCACTATCATGCATGCGAGTTCATTCATCCTAGCACCCGGCAGAGGCAGGGACTGTACACATTCACAGCTCAGTGTACACAAAAAGGAAGAATGAACACAGCAAGGTCAGAGCCCTTTATTACAGAAGAGATACAGGATGTCTGTTCTGTGATAATACAAACCTTTCAAGAACAGCTATAGTTCCACTTTAACCATTTCTCTTAATTATTATAGTGGATCTGCAGCTTATCTGTTCTCTGTGCCTGTTAAATATATAAATTGAAAGTGTTTTGTAACAACTGCTCAAAAAAATACCGGTTGATCCTGCGCGGAATCCAATGCTGCTCTGTGCACCCTGCAGTGTTATCTCAAAGTTAACAGGGAATACGTTAGGACTACAGTTTTTTCTGTGGACTGCTTGTTGACCTACAACCGCCCTATGTTAGAAAGGTGACGAGAGGGTTCTGTAGTCCTAACACACTTGCTGACCTTGGGTGGCAACACTGCTCCTACCATACATACAGTACAGCAAGTGTTGTCAACCTAGGACAGGAAGTAAATTACTGGCAAGATCAGCTGGTGAAAATAATAAAAGGAAACAAGAGCAGCCAACACATCTAAGGACTTGTAAGCTGCAATGTATTGTATTACATTTTGTGTTTTGAGTTTAGATAAGCTGCATATTTATATTTTTATTGTTTAAAAGGAGAACTATGGGTTCAGGGCTTTTCCCCATAGTTCTCCTAACGGTAACGGGAGAACACATACTAGCGTCCTCCTGTCACCCAAAGCTCAGTATATCGCCAGCTACAGCTCGCGATTTACTGAGACGCCGCAGCCGGGGCGGATCCCGACATTACTGTCTGGATCCACCCAGCTGTGTGAGTGACAGCTGGCTCTGCCTATCTAGAGGCCGAGCTAGCTGTAACTGCCCCCTTCCCCGTCCTCTCCGCCAGTCAGCGCTGGAGGATCGGAGCGGGGAATCCCTGCAGGGCGCCGTGAGTGACAGTCACGGCTCTCTGCACGGAGATGATTGAGAAGTGAGCGAGTGACGGTATGGGTTTGCTCACTTCCCGATCTATTGAGCCGACGTGTGACAGTTTCATTGTCACAGGTCGGCTAGAACTATGAGGCTGAGTGATTTTCACTCGCCTCATAGTTCTCCTTTAAGTATTAAAATAGAAAAAAAATAAAATGAATGGCCTTACAAGGTAACTTGCCCTCACTTACCGCTGTCCCGGGCCCTGCCCCAGGAGAAGTCCCTGATCCAGTGGGAGGTGTGGTGGTCGTGGTTCCAGGCTGGGGTGGATGAGGAGGAGCAGCGGGCCTTGTGAATACAAAACGAGGAGAAGCAGCCTGAAATCCAGGAATTTGCTGCCCTGTAAATAACAATTTTGATAATAAATATATCATTTTGATAATAAAAAGTCCTGGAATAATACCGGATCATATTCTGAGGCAAAGCATGCCGTTTTCAGCACCAAGGTCTCAGTTTAGGTACACAGTAGGGTTTAAGGACATGTTTCCACCATCACCGGACCAGATATGGATGCTTTTTTGCAGCTGCATGCGTTTTAACGTGTTTTTGACACGTTCAAGACGGTTGGTTTTTTTTTTCCCAATATGCGGATTAGGTCTCTGAGGTCATTTCCTGCTTCTTCTAAGCTTTTCATGTGTTTGTGGCCTTCACAGGAGCACAGGAGGTGATCAAACATGGAGCTATGGAATGTCTTGGCCCTGTGTGTGATAATCCTGCGTGTTTTGGGTCATAAAGCTCAGGACATTCTTGTACATAGGTGACAAACCGATCTGTGTCCGCATGTTAGTCCACCATGTTTGCAGAACACAGAGGACACAGACAAGGACATCAATGCTCAGGTGAAAATGCCCCTTTTCCATAAAGGATGTGTACAATGTTGTTTAGCTTATCAAAGGTGACCAGTAGTGTTTTGCTTTTTTTTTTACTTACGTTCCAGTGCATTCATGCGCATTGTGTCGCGTTCCGGTGCGTTCCAGAGCAGAGAAAAATCGCGCCTGCAGTACTTTGTTTTGAAAGCACTGGCACTGACTGCACTGCTGGGAACTGCAGCCCTAAAATACCATAGGAATACACAGGGATGCATTTCTGGTGCGTTTAAAAAACGCTCTGGTCTGGTGATGGTGGAAACAAGTCCTAAGGGTTCATCTAACTTTAGGGAGTGGGTGAAAGAGAACATCTGAGGGATAGAAGTTTGTGCTGTTATTTAGCTGAATGTTCTCCCTTTCAGAGTAGAGATGTCAGCACATTGTCAGGCTGTAAGGCCCCATGAATGCTGACCTGTCTCTTACCTGAATTCACGGCTTATAACAGGCACTGGTGCCCTGTACTCACCTGACGCAGCAGCCATGGCTTGCTGGGTGATCTGGTGGGAAATGGCCTGCATGAATTCAGGAGGTAACCCAGGCATGTGTATATGTGCGCCACCACCTGCAACAAAGAACATCAATCACTAGTACACAGTTTGTTGCAGACATGCATGAAAAAAAAAATCATACAGGGAGTGAGAGCCTGATAAGAGTAATACATAAGAGGGGGTCCTTTTCAGGTTCACAGTTCCTCCAAGGGGTTTGCCCCAAACCTGAGCATCTTCTGTGCTCCTCTATGTGTGCTGACCTAATAACTCCGGTCAGGCTCCTTCACTGTGCAATCAACAAGCAGAATGCAGGTTCATGGAGAAAAGCAAGCTCAATGACCTGGGTGAACCATAAGGCAGAGGTATCTGGTTTACTAGACTGGCTGGTGCACACTGAACATATTGCTAAGCACAACTGACATTTGTCTCACCTCCTGAGGTCGGGGGAATATTTGATGACCCCCCGGGTCCCGATTCTGAAAGATAAAAAATGGAACAAAAGTTATAATCTGAAGTACTGTGCCACATAAGGGCGGCTTACCAGATCCAAAGTCTAACTAGCTCACCTTGGATATTCATCATCATCATGACTGGTTCCACTGTCTGGTGTGTGATGCGTATAACGCGTGGGTGCGGAGGAGGAGCAGAGGTAGGTGGGGCCTGAGGTGGGGCGGAGTCTGCAGAAGGAGGGGCCGCGGTGTCACTGGCTCCACGTGTTGTTTCAGAACTGCTATTAGGAGTGGTTGAGGTTGTCGTTCCTTCGCTGGTTGTCTGACCGCCATGGGCTCCATTCCCCGTCATTGTCACCGTGGTACCAACATTAATCTAGAGGGAGAGCAATTCAACATTCGCAGTAAGCAAAAAAGGCAATTTGCCTCATTATACTGGACGCTGCCATTCAGGGAGGTTTCCATTAGGACTTTGTTCACACCTGTGCATGGTGGTAACAGATGGAGGAACTCACACAAATGCGCCATGCATGTTTTGGTGCACCCAATAAATGAGATGCCTTAAAGCAGAGCTTGTAGTAAAATGTAAGGTCCACTTATATTGTCTGGACCCGTCCCCCCCTCTAAGGTCCACTTTAACACAACGCATAAATGAGGGGCAAAAAAGAGAGGAACATCAAGAGATGGGGGCAAAAAGTAGGGATGCACCGATACCGGTATTTCGGTATCTAATACCGATATTTTTTTCTGTACTCACCGAAACCGAATACAGATACCAGAAGTCGCATTAAGAAAGCCAGGCGGCGTGTAATGACTCGCCACCCGGCTTCCCGATTAGGGACCATGCTTGGGGACCATGCTTCTCGTCACTAGGTAATGAGACAGCATGGAGCCGGCTTTCTGGCCAATTAGGAAGCTTGGCAGCAATCATTTTAGGCTGCCCAGCTTCCCGATACCGGAATTATCGTGCTAGGCGTAGGAGCATTTGGGCAAGTACGAGTACTCGCCCAAATACTCAGCATCGGCACCGATACTAGTATCGGTGCATGCCTACCAGAAAGAGAGAGCGCGACAAAGAGAGTGGAGGGGAGGGACAAGAAAGAGGGGGAGAAAGAGACAGAGGGTAATATAATTATCATCTCACCTGTATAGGGATGGCTGCCTGCTGGAGCAGCATAGGACCTGTGTAGTGTGACATGGGTCGGACCACGTGCATGTGGCGAGGTGTGGCCATGGATAGATTACACCGCAGATCAGACACTGCGATCAAAGCGTTCCCTAACAGCCGAAGACACTCGCCAACAAGATTTATAATTCGCTGCGACTGTTCTCGCTCCTCCTATAAAAGAGACACAGAGTGAAAAAAAAAATGGCTCATGTGACAGCACCTTACATCTTCTAGAATGGCACAGATATGAACCACCCAAGTGTAATTTACTTCATGAACAAATAAGCAGATCAAAAATGAGGGTCCCCAATGGGAGAAATGTATTGAACTGAAGAAAAAAAACAGCCAGTTAGGCATATAATTGGCTACTGAGGTCAACAGCACCACTTTTTCTAAAGTTCTCCTAAATCAATCCAATAGAATGCTGTAAGCAGGGATAGTGGGTGTTCAAATACATCATATATAGGTGACCAATGAGGCTAATGTGAAAACTGGAACAGAAACGGACCCTTTTTTTTTAACACCAGATTTCATAACCAGGTCTCACTAAATAAATGTCTACAGACACCCCGAGGATGCAAAAGACAGAAGTTGCGCTTACATTCTCATAGGCGCCGTTGGTAGCATTGCTGATGATCTCCCGGTAGCGCTCCATGAAGGGAGCCAGGCGCTCTTCCACCCGGGATAAAGACTGGAGGATCTCAACATACTCCGTTGGGGTCGGGTGGCTGCAGTGGAATACAGACAATATTATGAGCAGGATTAAACAGAAAAAACACAAAGAAACTAAGAGTGATTGGTGCACTCTCGAATATGGAATACTGATATTTATACAGTAGAAAGTAATTGTGTTACCTTGTTGGTGCTGCACCAGCTTGTCCCTCCGAGCTTGGTGCACTTTGGGATGGTGTCTCCCGAGTTCCTGATTCACCTTCAGGTCCTGCTGTTTCCATGGGTTCTGCTGCCGGATCATTGCTAGGTTGTTGCTGCACACCAAGAGAACATTACAGACAAGAAAGGTCAATGTCCTTCTTACACACCGCTACCTAATCTTATAAACAGCACAGGTACATTACACACAGCAGTGTCATCTCCATCCTCACACACACACACTACACCATGGCATGCATAGAGCATAGTTACAGTAAACACAGCAGTATCATCTCCATCCTCACACACCACATCAATGCTGTACAGGTACAGTCAGTCTTTAAACACTCACCTCTAGGCGATCCAATATTGATTGAATATCTTGCAATATGTGTTGCGCCAGAACAAGACGAACGCGAGGCTCACTCTGTATAGGGAGTAGTAGGAAGGAACAACGACATAGGAGAGAAGGATATAGAAGAAGGATATTACCAAGAGCAAGCGGAGAACAAGCGAAGAGGATGTGAAAAGATAAAAAGGTTGCAATGGTAGCAAAAGCAAAAACAAAATGAAGACCAGCAGATGAGAGTTGGGAAGGAGCGCCAGAGGCAACAAGTAAAACTGGTAACGTCTTTTCCATGGATCTTCCAGGACAGCGCAGTAGAGAGGGGGACTAGCCCACCTACAAACATGAAACACATCACCCACATTTAAAATAAAAGGAAACTGGTCCAGGAAGCTGCTTTACAGGCCTGGTCCAAGATTTCCAAGCCCAAGAGGAGAGTAAAGCTCTAGTAGAATGTGCAATAATGCCCTCTGAAGGATTGAAGTGAAGAGAATGACGGGACAAAGCTGTAGCTTGTCTGATCCACCTGGCGGTAGTAATATCAGGTGCTATACAGCCTTTCATAGGACCTGAAAACAAACAAACAAAAAAAGGATTCTTGGACCTTCTCGAAGGCCAAGTGATTTCCAGGTAATGCAATAGACACCTTCTAATGTCCAGATTGTGAAATGCTTGCTTCTCATCACTGGATGGATTAGGAAATAAGGAAGGGATGGTGACAGCCTGGGTTCCGTGGAAGTTGGAAGCTATTTTTGTCAGAAATGTTGAGTCTGTTCTCAAGGTGATACAGCCCAGGAAGATAAGACATTAGGTTCTGCCATGAAAAGAGCTTGGGTTTCACTAACTCTCAGTCTGACATGAGGGAGACTCATAGAACCATATTGAGGGTCAGGATTTTGTCTGAACACTGTTCTATGGACTGCAAAGGAGGAAGTGGAAATGCTTGGAGAACAGTAGAGACGTCACATGAGGGGAATTTCCTAACAGGCATTTCGCTTCTGGAAATGGAGCAAAAACCTCTCAAGAGGGATCTTCTGATAAACCAATATCCAAAAAAGGAAGGAAGGGCTGCTATGTGAGCCTCCAATGTGCTACAGGACAGACTCATCTGCTCCTTCCTGCAGGAACTTGAACACTGTAGAGATAATGGGTATATGTAAAAAAAATTATTGACCCAAAAGGGAAAACCTTTTCTACATTATGCTGTAGTCGTTACTTTTCCTGCTACCTAAGGTAGATACTATACTACCTATAGCCCTCTACCCATCAGGATTATCCTCTCAATAGCCATGCTGTAAGGCAGAGGTGGTGTACATGAGGATGCAGAACCGAGCCCTGGCGAAACAGATTGATCTCCTTCAGAAGTTTCCGTGGCGGGAAAATGATCAGTCTGCAAAGACTCGCCAATGGGCCCCTTTTAGGCCAAAACAGTGTAAATAAAGTGACATTTGCTTTATCTTTGACGAACTATTGGAGCACCTTTGGTATCATATGAAATGGGGAGCGTGAAAGGCGTAAGTCAGATCCCAGTCCAATCGAAGAGCAAAGATATTTGCATGCAATATTTCTGTCCTCAAAGCAGAAAAAGTGAGAACTGCATACGCGTGACATGCGAGGACTATTGCACAGCAGACTGCTTGCATGTACATAGAAGATCTCTGCCCCCAGTCACTTACCCCACACCACCATAAGCAACAAAAAGGAGAAAACTCAGGATCTGACCAAATTTGAGGAAGTGAGGACTCAACTGGAGCCCCTGTGCTCACAGGTATAGTTGTTTCTCCTCAAGCAGATAAGGAACCTGGGGGGAATAATGATGAGGAGGTAATGGGGAGGGAGGGTCCCACAGAAAAGTTAATCCTAGCCAGGACGAGCCCAGGCATGCAACCCATCCATATCCATTGTTCCTGACATCATAGGGGAGCATACACTAAGAGGCACCTGCACCTTCCTGTTAGACTGGAGGAAATACAATAACTAATGTGGTTGGGAGGGAGGGACTTTATTTTAACTGTGGATGATGCGTTTCCTGTTTGTAGGTAGTCAGATCCCCTCTCTCCTGTGCTGTCCTGGAACATGAATTAGGAAAAGGTGAACAGTAAGCCAGAAAACAGACAAAGAATGCATTAGACGGTTGCAGTCAGACACAGGTGCAGTATTGGATAACAGCAGCTGACAAGAACCCACCACCTACATTCACATGCCTCTTAGCTCCCGTATTAAAGATCTGATTGCAATATACACACACATGGTATAACCAGTCCAGTCTAAAAGCATGTTTCACATACCACAGTGTATCATCAGGCCCCTGGCTTCTCTAGATCTTAAAAACAATTGCCAGTTATACTTAAATAATGTAAAATCCAATTGAACCTTTACCTTAAATCATCTAAATCCATTCCGTGTGCGCCAAAACAGAAAGGTGAGCAAAGTTCTGTTTTCTTCAGAAAGTAGCCTCAGCCTGAGTAGAAACGTCCGTCTCCTGCCAGCATTCTACAGAAGGACTTTGCTCTTTGTGTGGAAGCAGTGGCCTCTCTGCAGAGAACAGAGAGGCCATCTACTGTGTCAGACCCCTTACTCTCTAATCAACAAAGCTCATGCTCCATACGGATTGTAGAGCTATAGGTCTGACTAACCAGGGAGGGTATTGGATCTCTGCCAAGAAAGCACTGCTTCTATACAGATCAAGGCTCTTCCCTACAGAATGCTGGCAGGGGACGGCTTTTCTACTCAGGCTGTGGCTGCCTTCCAAAGAAAACAGACTTTGCACACCTTATGTTTTGATCAAAGTGGAATGTATTTAGCTAATGTAAACTGAAGGCTCAGTTGGGCTTTAATCATGTCATGTGGTAAAACAGAAACTAGCAGGAACCATCAAGGGGCCTCCAAACATCCTGTATGCAGCTTTTATGTTTACAGCAAAGTGGATCACCAGCAAAACTCCACTGCAGAGCAGGTGACTTAAGAGTTGCTGCATTGCCCTTTGAGATGCATTGGGCATTTCCATCTAGGGCTCTCTGGTAAGTATTTGCATGCCTGGAAGTCCCTTCATTAATCTTAGAGTCGTCTTCTGTGCACTTTTGGGGCCTTTCGATTTCAGGCATACAAGTGAAAGCACGGACGTTGAGGTCTGCTGGGCTCAACCCCACCACCCCACAATCTAATTAGATGCCAGTTTTGGGCTGTGAAGATGCTCTTATTGGTTTTGGTGGGGGCTGGACCTGAAAGTTTCAGAGCTTAAAAGAGAACTATGAGGCAAGTGTTTTCCCCATAGTTCTCTTTAGGGTCATAGGAGGACATATACTAGCATCTTCCCATGACCCAAAGCTCAGTATATCTCAGTCAATACTGTGAGCGCCGCGTCTGGGATGGATCCCGACATTACTGTTGAGATCCACCCATCTATGTGAGTGACAGCTGGCTCTGCCCATCTAGAGGCAGAGCCAGCTGTGCCCGCCCTCTCCCTATCTGTTCCTGAGCTCTGCGGTGGCGAGAGGAGGGGGGAATCCCTGCATGGAGCGGTGACTGTCACCGATCTTTGCAGAGAGACGATCGGGAAGTGAGCGGAACGGCAACATGTTTCTGCTCACTTCCTGATCGATAGAGCCGACCTCCGACAGCTTCTTTGTCACAGGTCGGCTCTAACTTTGAGGATGAGTGGAAATCACTCACCTCATAGATCTCCCTTAAGTCAAAGCTTAATTACTGCACACGTGGGCTTGACTACTGCCCACCTAGAGATTGATCCTGCAGGCTAACACATGTACTGTGCAAGCTTATCAAGGTGTCAGCACTGTTTTGGGAAGGTCAAGTGACATCACTACCCCTTGTTGATTAAAAAAAAACAAAACTAGAATTCTTTGAATGGCTGATGTGCCGAGTGAGGGACCCCCTGTGTTTTCAGAGCAGGGGGAAAGCTACTCAGCAAAGTGCAGGATCTGGAGCTTGCTATTAGCTCTTGCTACTACAGTACTTTACTGGATCCCCAGTGACCAGTCAGGTGTGACATGGCATGCATACTTGTCAACATTAAGTGTACTTCCACCTCCAAAAGTCAAATTTAAGAAACCCCTACTATATGTTTGTTATGCGTTCCCATTCACACAGCATACCTAAAATCATTTCAAATGACATATTTCTTACCTTTCTTTGGAGCAGGATTAAACATAGGACTATATAGGCAGCTTCTACAGCTTAGAACAAATGGCAACGTGCAGATAAAGGACAGACACATAGACACCGTTTTTTTAAGCACATTAATATACTAGTAATACAGGTGAAACTCGAATAATTAGAATATCGTGCAAAGTTCATTTATTTCACTAATGCAACTTAAAAGGTGAAACTAATATATGAGATAGACTCATTACATGCAAAGCAAGATAATTCAAGCCGTGATTTGTCATAATTGTGATGATTATGGCTTACAGCTCATGAAAACCCCAAGAACCCCAAATCCACAACCTCAAAAAAGTAGATTATTACATGCAATCAATAAAACAAGGATTGTACATAGAACAATATCGGACCTCTGAAAAGTACAAGCATGCATATGTACTCAGTACTTGGTTTGGGCCCCTTTTGCAGCACTTACTGCAATTACTTTTGCACGATATTCTAATTATTCGAGTTTCACCTGTATACTATGTACTACCGAAGCCTTGATCTTTAACCCTTTGTTACAAAAGACAGTGTGCACATCTAGTTTACAACTGATAATGAAATCTGCCAGCACAGTCCAGACAGGATTAATTATGGTAAACTTAACACCCCAGCTCCCCTCCTTAAAAGTGCCATTAAGGATAGAATCCCCCCCATGCTGCTTTAAGGACTTGTGTGATGCCTCTTGATCCGAACAACTTCTTCCTTCCACTCATTTTACAAAGTCCTTCCAGCGCTGGTGCCGGTCTCTGATCCACGGCAGACTTCAAGTCCAACGGAGTCTGCCGTGCGTGCTCCCGGTGGCGTTCACTCAATGTCAGCAGTGTTCTCCTCGGAATATGTGTACAGCGCATGCAACCGCACACACTTTCTCCTTCACAGCGTTTGGATTTCTACAGTGTGAGCGAGCGCTGCTGACACAAGTGGTATTTGTCACTTTTATTTTTTATGTTGGGGCATAGATCTACTACTAGGGAGTAGTAGTAGTAGTAGTAGTAGTAGTAGTATATATCCAATACTAGCAGTAGATATATGCCCCCCCCCCCCCAAAAAAGAGACTTTAATTCTACTTTAACATTACATAGAAGAAGTAAGCCAAGTAAAATGTTTCAGCAAGTAAAAAGCTAAGCAGAAATGTTTAGATTTTTTTTTTAAAGTTATGCTTTGTGAATGGGAACATGTAACAAATATAAAAGTAGGTGTTATTCCAAATTGGCTGCAAAAGTATGGAAATACACTTAAAACTTTACATTTTGTCTCTTTCTACATCTTTTTATTTTTTAATATTTGAAAAGATAGCTCAATGCTTCAAAAACGTGTTTTTTTTTAAATGTTTTACTTCAGACGACTGGAAAGTGTGAGCGCATGGGGAACGTATGCTGTACAGTGATTGAATGCTGTATCCAAAATTCTGATTCATCCAATTGCTATTGCCGTTTGTATTTCTCAAATGACAAAAATCAAAAATAAAACGCTTTTTAAAAAGTCATCTAAAACTTCCAACAGTACACAACCAAACCCTTCTGATTCCATGACAGTCTTCCTTCAAACAGTTCAAATCAAAGAAAAACAAACTTTTGTCACTTAAAATGACTCTGTCATAAGAGAAGTATGGGGGCCACCAACGCTGACCTCTACTTTGACAAAGTTAGCTGTCTGGCTATTATGTTGACGTTTTTGCTTCAATATTTTGAGCCTCTGGCCTAGAAAGATGCTTGTTTCAGGTAAACAAAAAAGGAAGAAGGGAAGATGCATGCAGCCTGCAGGGCCGCCATGCCTGAAGAGTGCCAAAGCTACGGTGAAAATCACAACATATTAAGCACATATGCTTTACAAAGCTTTTGCCATGCATAATAGTTAATATATTTGTTTTTATATATTTGCTAAAACTAGGGCAGCAGCTAACGATTTTCATAATCGGTTAGTTGCCCAATTATTTTTTCCATTAATCAATTAGTTGTATTTAAAAAAAATATATCTCTCCCCCACCAACCAACTAATCGGAATTGAGAATAGTTGACAACTATTCGCATAATCGATTTGTTGTTGCAGCCCTAGATAAAACTGATATCTTTCAACTTAGTACTAGTCACAAGTACTTCCTGTGGTCTCCCTGCAGCTGATCTTTTCCCCATTACTGACTTGCCATGCCTTGCTCTGCTCAGTGTCTCTGTGTGGAGGCAACCATCTTGGTAGAGGCAGGGCTTTGCTTCCTCATGTCAGAGGCTCCAGCAAGGAGAACAGTGAGCAGCACAGTAGTGACATCACCAAATATCATTTCAAACCTCACAAGACCAGCAGTCAGAAGCAGCGCCGCCTGAGTTCTCACACTGCAGATATACAGCTATGAGGCTGTAGGAACAGGAGTCCCTAGGCACCCTCACATACCAGGAATTGCACTGCTATTTTTCAGGAGGAATTCAAGACAACAGGGAAATCTTTCAGGGTACTGCTTTGGCACAATTAACATTTTTAAATGTTCCCTCTAAGAGCAGGTCTTCGCTTTTTGAGTTAAGGTCCACCAGTTGAAGTGCCTAAGCTTGCGACAGCCTCAAGCCTGTGACACGCTGCACGTGAAGCAGTGCGGAGAGGTGGTGCACGGACCTTTGAGTGCAGGGAGTCATGTCATTCTCACTCTGGCACGTCCGCTTGCAAGAGCTCGCATAGCTGAGCGTGCCGAGATGAAAAATGTCATCTTCAGCCAATGGGCTCGCGCAGATAGACCCGTGCGTCAGCATGCAAAGTCCATTCGGTTGTTACGCACGAGCCGATTGGCTGAAGATGCAGTCTTTCATCTGGCCGGGCTCAGCTCACACAGTGCATGCGAACGTCCGTGCCTCACAGCTTCGCATGCAGTGTATCACGGGCCTAAAAACCTAAAATGTTTCCAGTATGGGCAAAGTACGCGTCTTACTTTTGTTCTTTCCACTGGTTATTTCACAAGTTCCTATATATGGTTTTTAGTGTTTGTATCTAAAACTGCAATATCAAAAAAGGTATCGATCGCAAATTTTCCCTTTCTTTCATCAAAATCTATAAGCAATACCCATCTTCTAACTAAAGATCTGGGGCAGTCTCAGCTAAAACACAATTGTAACACTGTTTGTCTCTTCTGTTATAACAGCGCACTTGGGAAAACGCGACAAACAGAGCAGCGACTGATCAACCATGATAATACATGTCATAGGACTAGAGGCAGAATCTCCACGTCTCGTACCTGGATGGGGAGCTGCTGGTCCAAGTTTATATGTACATCAAGAGAGGAGCCATCATTCTAAGCAGAGAAGGTAGGAAGGAAGAAGAGAGCCAGAGGGGATCAGGCGGGATGAGAAAGAGCAAGATGAAATTAGGAACATTAAAAAATAGAGTTCAGAAAGGATGCAGAAACAGCAAGAAGGACGAGAAAAGACAGAGAGGGCATGGAGAGGCACAGAAAGACATGAAAGAGGAGCGGGACAAGTGGAGAAGAGAAGAAGGAGTAAACGGTATAAATCAGAGTATTGTTCTGAACATATTAGATCTCCTATTCTACATGTAAACAACCCATCCAGGAAAGGGTTATACATGCAAACACCACAGGAGAGAACACATTGCTTGCAGGGACAGGATGTCAACCAACACAGAGAAGGTAAATCTGAATGAGGCTTTTTATACTTACCCCACTGACTGTGGAAACACGTGGGGCTCTGCCAGCCTCACCCAGACCCGACATGACATGCTGTGGGAAGAGAGGCGAAGAACATGTCAGCTTAAAGAAGAACTCTGCTCTGAACAAGAACATATCACCCCATTCTAACGAAAGTGTTTAGATCTCCAAAGGTCATCTACTATATGATAAACACACTAGTTTGGGGTCACCTTTAATAAGTAACCTCATGTCAAAACAATCCATAGATCCAAGGTGGTATCCAACAAAAGGTATAGGCAAATCTTGACCTTTTCCTATAAAAGTCAAGCTTGTTCACACCCTTCTACCCCCTGGTTCTTTAATGCGATAGGCAGCCTTACTGACCAATAGGACAGCTTGAGAAAATGGAGGGTGGCAGGCCAAGCACATCTTACAGGAAAATTAGAGATTTGCATGCAACTTCAGCTACCTACCTCCTAGGTTCTGCCGATTGTTTTCTTGTTAAGGGAACATCTGCTTATCCATTTTTCATCACATGCTTAGAGGAGAACTATGAGGTGAGTGATTTACACTCAACCTCATAGTTCGAGCCAACGTGCGACAATGAAATAGTCACACGTCGGCTCAATAGACCGGGAAGTGAGCAAATGCATACCGTCGCTCGCTCACTTCTCGATCATCTCCCTGTAGAGAGCAGTGACGGTCAGGCACCGCTCCCCGCAGGGATTCCCCCCTCCGATCCTCCAGCGCTGAGTGGAGGGGAACAGATGGGGGAGGGGGCGGGCACAGCTGGCTCTGCCTCTAGATAGGCAGAACCAGCTGTCATTCACGCTGCTGGGTGGATCCAGACAGTATTGTTGGGATCCGTCCCGGCTGCCTCAGTATACCACAAGCTGTAGCTCGCAATATACAGAGCTTTGGGTCACAGGAGGACACTAGTATATGTCCTCCAGTGACCCTTAAGAGAACTATGAGGAAAAACACTTACCCCATAGTTCTCTTTTAAGAGGAACTGAATAGTGGAAGCCGTGCCCAAAAACAAAATCAGGCAGAGAACATCGGACAATTCACCAGCATTGCATATGGACTCCCTGCAGCTGATAATTGATCATGCCTTGTTCTGTATTGTCTGCCAAGACTTCTCTTGTTCTGCACTGTATCTCCGGGTGGAAGCAGCCATCTTGGTAGAGGCGGGGCTTTGTTTTCCCATGTCAAAGCCTCCAGCAAGAAGCAAATTAGGGGCATCATCAAGTCTCACTCTTTGGGCACAATCACACCAGTGCCTGCATTTTATGCACCTGCACTGAAGCCCAAAGTACAGAAACGAGCAACAGTGTACAAGATGTATGATGGAGTAAATGGTGCATGTACAATTTGCTTTGATGTGTTAGGCAGTGCACTTAAATAAATGCGCTGACTTAACATAACACACCGCAACGGACCCAAGTGGTGTAAATGGGCTCTTAATCAAGTGAAAAAAGCAGTCAGGGTCAGCTGTGTTTTGGATGATCTCACCTTGTAGATATGCAATTAGGAGCCTGCAGGGACAGGAGTGCCTAGGCACCCTCACATACCAGGCAAGAGCTCAAGGACGTCACACTGCTGTTTAGTTCAACTTTAAACATAAAAGTTGTGCTTCAGACTGCAATGCATGGACTGATTCTCTTTGGAGGCTTCAGCAAGCAGCCTAACCTGTTTGTTACTACAGTTCATGCAGAGTACAGCTTTCTGTAGCCTTAGAGGGGCGGCACGCATGCCGGAACAGGGCGTGTAAGGTAAAAACTAACTACAGAACACCAGAAGATAGCAAATACTGAATTCTATAAAGAGTCAGGGGCATGTCATACTACGGATCATGTCGCTGGGGGCATATATCCAGGCACAGAAACTACACACCTGCTCCTACAGTATTGCTCCACTGCAGGCCAAAATGATGCAGAATCTTGCTCATCTTATAAGGCAACACTGTAGGAGCAGGTGATTGTTCTTGCTGCTCTCTCATAGAGATCCGAAGGCCTAGCGGTTGAATGGTGGGAAGCACTAGAGTACTATATAAATGAAATGGTCTAGTGGATTTCCTCACCGGCAGATTAAACGCTCCCACCATCACGTAGCTGTTTCCGTTCCTCTCAGGACCACCAGGCCCTGATCCGCCTGCAGCGCCACCACTAGAGCTGGAAGATGTGCTGGATGACGCAGAAGCTCCCCCATTAGTGGTCTGTGTCTGAGGAGGCGCACGCTCCACCAAGTGAATGACCTTCCCATCCACATCTGAATGAGCAGAACAGAAATTGGTTATTAAGGAGAAAGTTCTGCAACCTCTATTCAAAGCCTGCCATGCAGCAGACAAAGCCAGGTACTCACTGTATTCCTTCAGCTTTTTATCTTCCTGCAGCACACGACCTTGATATATGAGCCGCTGCTTCTCTGGAGGGATGCCAACCGAGGAAGATATGTGATCCTTAAAGTCCTTCACAGTTATCTGTAGGAAAAGGGGCAAGGTGGCAGCTCAAACAAAAGGAATGTTGTGGACACACACATAGTATAATCATAATTCCCCTATGGGTGTCAACAAGAAGAACCCACAGACTAGCAAGCCTGCCTTCAGCTCGATTACAGAACTGTAATAACATAAACCTTCCATATACATGAAGCTAAAAGGAATGTATACAAAGTTTTAGTTATAAGAATTAGGGCTGCAGCTAACGATTGTTTTCATAATGGATTAGTTGTCCGAATATTTTTTCAACTAATCGACTGGTTGTATTAAATAAGGACCGCCGAATGTGGATCCGAATTGCAGCGAGCGTCAAAAGGGGTGAGGTTGCGTGGGCAGCCGAGACAATGATGGAGAGATGTTACAAAGCTACTAATTTAAATGAATGATCTTTTAGACCCCTAGTGTCATTATTCCTCTTCACTGGATTCAGTTGCTGAGGCAGCTGAATGTCAACGCAGTAGGCAGTGGCTGGGAGCAATAGCCAGCCTGTTATTGGTTATTTTAAATTGCAATAGCAGGCTGGCTATTGCAGCCCCCCGTCTTCTGTCAATCAGCAGAGGAAGGGACTGAAAGAGAAAGTGCTCCTTCAGTTCCCACCTCTGATGATTGACAGCAGGCAGGTGCAATAGCCAGCCTGCTTTTGCAATTTAAAATAAGCAATAGCAGGCTGGCTATTGTTTCCAGCCGCTGATGGGAGACTTGACGCCGATGTGCTATGAATCCCCCAGACTCGAGTCCAGGGATTGATAGAACACTGGCAGAAGAGCAAGCATGGGGGAGCAGAGGAGGGGGAACGGGGAGCTTGCAGAGTCACCGCAGTCATCTGTTTCCCCACTGCCTCCGCCGATACAGACGGGAGGAGTAGCGGGGATTAAAAGGGAAACAGACCGCTGCAGCCAGCACCAGCTGTGAGAACGGAGGAGCAGAGCGGCAGCAACTAATCGAAAATCAACTAATCGATGATGAGAATCATTGCCAACGATTCTCATTACCGATTATAATCGATTAGTTGTTGCAGCCCTAATAGGAATAACCCCCCACCACCATATTCTTGAACTTTATTGGTACCACTCCAAAATGTTCACATAATCAATAAATTGATTTAAAATAATTTTCTCATTATGTACAATTAAAAACCATGGCTTTTGGTCTTACAATATACATTCCATCATATCCTTGAACATATCCCATGTACTTTGGTGAGCCTGTCACACTATACGTGTGTTCCTTATGTCTATGTAACAGGTAGTAGTTATTGGTGTATCGTCTTACATCGCTCCATGATGTAACATCCAGTACAGGGTGTACTACAGAAAGTCCATGGCAAAACTTAATATAATGATAAAGCAAAGATGACCGCTATGTTCTACATTCTCACTAAAGTGTCCCCCAAAATAATATTGTTTAGTCTGTTCCCAGTACTACATATATGGGACTGCTCGTGTATTTTGGCCCCTCAGACACCCAGTACTTAGAATGCGCTCTCTGTGAACACACCTCTGCATCCACTGTGAAGGTGCGAGATTGGGAGTCCAAGGTTTTCACCGTCACCTCCATCTTCTCGTCAGCTGCCATCTCGCTCCCTGAAATACAAAAGGAGAGAAGGTAATGGTGATGGGAGCTGAAGGACATTTCCAGGTAGAATATGGCCCTGTCGCTAGATGAGAGGTTATACTGTGTCTTGTAGTTCCACCTAGGAGATGATGAAATCAGACTTCACAACCTTTACTTTAAAGATCCATAAAGAAAGAGTTTGTGTTTCCAGTCCAAAACTACCGGCTTTATAGTCATCGCACACTATTTACACACAGTGATTAGCCTGCTGGCAAAACCACGGACAAACATCAAGGGACGTACAGACCAAGGGCTCAGAGGACACGATCGCTGCTAAACCCAACTACCTCTTTTCATGAAAATGGAACACAAAAGGGAGGGGTTTGTTTAAAGCTGAACTTCGGGCAAGCAGAAAAAACAAGACACATATGGGAACAGTTCACATCAGGCAAAGTATTGTTCATTTTGTGTCCAGGTAATCCTGCCAGATAGTACAGCCAGATCATGGACTCCATTTCCCTTGGCTGTACCCTGGCCTACATACTGGGCAAAGCAGCAGCACACTTAGATGTCATCTATCTGCTCACTCTGCTCTCTCCTCCTCTTAGCAGAGTCTGACTGGCACCTAGTGCTGTCCCTTCCCCTCCCCAGTCTACAACCCCACTTCCAGAAAAGTTGGGACGCTGTGTAAAAACAACAGAATGTAATGATTTGTAAATATCAGAAACCCATTTTTTATTAACAATAGAAAAAAGAAAACATATCCAATGTTTAACTGAGAAAATGTAATATTGAAATTGATGGCAGCAACACGTCTCAAAATGTTGGGACAGGGCAACAAAAAGCTGGCAAGGTAAGTGGTACCGACAAGGAATAGGAAAAGATTGGAATTACAGTAGTATTAAACCCTCAATCTTTCTTTTCAATAATGAATCCGGATCAAACTAATACACACCGCCCAGCAAAGCATTGCTTTCCATATTTGCCCAACTTAGACCAAGGGTAGGCAAACTGCGGCCCTCCAGCTGTGGTGAAACTACAAATCCCATGATGCATCTCTCTCTGTGAGTCATGTCTGTGGCTGTGATAATCTTGCAATGCCTCATGGGATTTGTAGTTCCACTACAGTTGGGAGGGCCAGAGTTTGGCTACCCGACTTAGAGGGTTATTCACTAAAGAGCCGAAGGATTAAGGCAACGGTCCATTTCAGATGGAAGAGAACAGTGTATGCGGACTTGGGAATGGATGGATGGCTTTTTGTGCCAGAATATGATTTATACTGAAGAATCCGTTTATTTCCAAGTCCCCGTACATTGTCCTCTTTCTTAAAAGCCCCAAAGAAGGGAGTAGTTTTTCTTCCAACCCCGGGAACACTTTGGCTTTGTGTACAAATTTACAATTGGAATAAATCTGTATCTGGACTTCAGTATCACGGTGCGGAGTTCTAATTCTAGTTTTACTCATTCCAGTCACAGCAGAAGGTGACCACAGAGCAGCATCAATGTGCTTAAAGTGACACTAAACTCAAAGCTTCAAAATGTATCCAAGTTCCTCAACTGTGTACTGTATTTGCAGGCATAGCAGACGAGTTTATAGACTTAAAAACATCCCCCGAAAATCGGGGGTCGTCTTATATGCCGGGTATACAATACCGCTTGATGTGCGGTAATACTGTATGTACGGTAGCTTCGGCTACATACAGTATACTGCGCTGAGCCAATCACAGCGAGCAATGTATTCTATTAATGTACACAAAGCCTGCCGTGATTGGCTCAGCGCGGTATACTGTATGTAGCTGAAGCTACCGTACATACAGTATTACCGCACATCCAGCGGGCTGACAGATTAGCCTCCCTGGCGGTCTGATTTTTTTTTTTTTTACTTTTAAAATTCCCGCCGTTTCCGCCCCCTGCGGCACAGACGCTCGCAAGGGACGGAACCCAGAAGACGGAAGACACAGCGGGGATCGTGGACAAGGTAAAAGACTGTAATCCCGAGTCTGGCTCGGGGTAACCGCTTATGGTACTGAAAATTACCCCCGAGCCACACTCGGGAATACTGCCATAGAGGTAAGTGGGTGTGTTTAAACATTATTTTGGGCTATACTCGTCTTACACGACGAGTATAGCCCAAAACCTATATTTTAACACAAAAATTAGGGGGTCGTCTTATACGCCGGTAAATAAATGTATCTTAATTGTGTATCACTCGGCTGTAGATCCTCCAATCATCTCTGAATTGGTGCTGACACTGTCCTTCCTTCTGGAGGGGGGCTACTTTTGTTCCCCATGGTCCCTGTGTGTGTTGTAAAGTAGTCACGGCTCCAAGCTCACTCCCATGATGGACTACAACCTCACATTTAGTTTATTGGTATATATTGCGATTGTTTATATTGGCAGAACTGATTTTTTTTTCTTGTTATGAATTCATAAGTGCAGTGTTTGTTTGTTTTTTGTCTTTTATTTTGTTTTTAATACATCTGCCTGGTGTTCAGCTATAAACGACATGTCAACTTTAACATAAAGAGACCCTGTCACCAGCAGGAACAATTGCAGGACAACGCACAGATCAATCAATGATTTTAAAATGCTTACTAGCAGCGATTTTCCTTTCCACAAATTATTTATCATAACCTGCAATGTGCCTTAGAGCTTGCTAGAAAATCTAACTACTTCAAGATGAGTCAAATCCCTAATATAGCTCCCTTCCTCCTTTCATGTCATAGCCCTCTCCTCTTCTGGGAGTGTTTAAATTACTTCCTGTGTTGGCCCAGCTCCTCCACCCTTCCCCTAACCTCCCTACATAACCTTATGGGAGGAGTGTAGGGGAATGCTATATAGCCATGGAAGGCAACCTTGAGGAAACTACAAATCCCATGATGCCTATGGGAGTCGTGCCTGTCAGTCTTGAAAAGCTTCATGGGACTTTAGTTCCACGACAGCTGGAGCATCGAGGTTGCCTACTCCTACTGTATAGTGTCACCTGAGTGACAGCTCCGAGTCGGCTGACATGACATCCAAGATGGTGGCATCCAGCAGCTTTTGGGTATTTAAATGTCTTCACAAAGGAGGCTATTATAGGTAAATAACATGCATGAGTATTCGAGAAGTGCATACGGCTCCGTGTTCAGCTGCGGACAGGAACTCTGTACAAATCAATGTCTGTGTCACCATCCCTACGACTAGAGAGGCAGATGAGCAGATGAGCAGCTATCCAAATGAATCCTTAAATAAATTAAATGCATATATAATCTAATGGTAAGAATGATGTTACAGTAAATGGTTCAGTGACAGGGCCTCTTTAATCTGTGTTTTTCAATCAGCTTGGAGCTCAGTTGTAATGACAGGTTCTCTTTAACCTAAAAAAAAAAACCCCCGCTTAGAACGTTTACAAACATAGAATCTACCAAACCGAATAGGATGGAATGGAACTTCCGGTAAGGGACATTTCAGGTGATAACGACCATCGGTCCAGGGACAGTCTCCCAACATCTATTAATGACAAGACAGCAGCCATGTTGTGCCACTATGACTGTGTACATAGAGCCGACCCGCTGTGATATACTGCTCAGTACATCCGCCGCCCTCTCCCCTCTTCTCATACACCCCCCGAATAGGCCTTACCTGCGATACCGGCACCACCGGCAACCAGAGACACTGATAACTAGCAACTGTTATAACGCAGACAGCAGCAGCCGGCCAACTTCCGGGTTCTCACTCCCTGCCTTCCGCTTCTGAGGGTAAAGGTTAAGCGTGACCGACTTCCTGCTCTTGGAACGCAGAGGCGCCAGTTCTACTTCCGCCCACACGCAGATTGCTTTACTTCCGCCCTGACTCAGCTTACAGGAGTGATCCTGTAGCCTACAGCTTACGTGCTGTAGGCTCCCCAATGAATGACCTCACATTGAAATGTCATAATTTAATAATTATATGATAAATGACTCGTTGGCTCGCATCCGCTTCCTCCTTTTATTTATATTCAGCTAATTTTAGAACGTGGCAAGGATTGATCGTGAAAAGCTGCAGCTGTTTAAGTGAAACACATTTTTGTTTAGGTGGAGAAATTGTTATTACAAAGGAATAAATTCCCCTATGTGAAGGGAATTTATTAAAACTGGAGCAGTCGTCTGTAGTAACCAATCAGCTTCTCTCTTTCATTTTCAAAGCTTAAAGGAGAACTATGGGGTTAGGGCTTTTCCCCATAGTTCTCCCAAGGGTCACGGGAGAACACAAACTAGCGTTCTCCCGTGACCCAAAGCTCAGTAGCTCGCGGTATACTGATCCCGAAAATACAGTCTGGATCCACCCAGCTGCCGGATTGACAGCTGGCTCTGCCTATCCAGAGGCAGAGCCAGCTGTGCCCTCCCCCGTCTGTTTCGCCAGCCAGCGTTGGAGGATCGGACGGGGGAGGGGAATCCATGCAGGGAGCCATGAGTGACAGTCACGGCTCTCTGCAGGGATAGATCAAGTAGTGAGCGAGCGCCGGTATGTGTTCGCTCACTTCCCGATCTACTGAGCCGACCTGTGACAGTTTCATTGTCACAGGTCGGCTCAGATTATGAGTCTGATTGAAAATCGCTCGCCTCATAATTCTCCTTTAGCTGAGCAAACTGAAGATAGAAGCTGATTGGTTACTATGGGCAACTGCTCCAAAAGTGTCCGTTTCCCTTGTGGACTTCAACAAAAGGTTTCAGAGCAGCGTTCAGCGATGTGAGCAGCAGAAATGGCGAATATTTACACTTAGCAGGTTTTGTACAGCGACAGGGTCCCTTTAGAGGCATATTTCACTTTTTGCAATAAATTAATAAATGCATCCATAGTGCAGAAAGAAAACATTTGAGCATTTACTAGTTTTTGCATTTGAGCCTGCAAAGCGTGTCAACCTTGATCAGTGGATTGCAGGTGCAATGCCCAGGTTCTTGCAGACTCTTCCTCCAATCCCCCAAATCCATACAGAGGTGTGGACCTTTGGTTATGGAGCTGTAGAAAATTATTATTAAACTACACGTGCTCTGTGGAGATCTACGAGTCCTTCTGCCGAATTCAAAAATTCACAGGAGCCTGCAAGGAGTAGAACCCTGTGCTCCAGGTAAATGAGGGTGGGGTGGCAGGATGGCTCCATGTTACACCCAGATAGGAGTATAGCATGGAACATGGTATGAAAGTAGGGTTTTGCTTGAAGAAAAGGTGGAACCCTAAATGTGAGCGGTGAGGGGCCCAGAAAGTCAACACTTCTAAAGGTGTCTGTTTCCCTTGTGGACTTCAGGATGGCCTCATGTTCCATGTTACACACTGAATATGGGTGTAGCATGGTATGAAAGGTGACTTTAGCTTTAAAAAGAAACCTGGACTGAGGAACCGTGGAGGCTGCCATTGCTGAACTCTCCTCAGATTGCTATCTCCTTGGTTGGTATAAGGGTCCATTGGCTCCAGTACTTTGTACGACTCTAACCTAGAACAAGTAATCAGATCAGGGGCTCTGTCTTTACTCTGATTTTGTTAATCTGTACTCTTGATTCAGGTCAGTAACTCTGAAAAGATTGAAGCCGTAGACCAGGGGTAGCCAAACTCCGGCCCTCCAGCTGTGGTGGAACTACAAATCCCATGAGGCATTGCAAGATTCTCACAGCCACAGACATGACTCCGGGAGAGAGATGCATCATGGGATTTAAAGTTTCACCACAGCTGGAGATCCGGAGTTTGGCTACCCCTGCCGTACCGTAGACCATCTGCAATTTGCAGAAAGCAAACTGTCCAAGTTTTGTATTGGGGAGGAAACCCCTGCAAACAAGGGGAGGATGTTCAAACTCCATGCTGATATTTTCCCCAGTAGCATTCAAACCCAGGACCCAAAGATCTGTGTCCTTTATTGTCACAGTTTTGCATATCTCACATAGAAGAAGGAAGACCTAATAAGCCCGTGGCCTTCTTACATAGCAGTTGCCCACATCCTAAACCAAAATTCAAGGACACTTTGCTGCTGACCTGCTGTTACTATTCTCAAAAAAATACAATTTCAGATTTTATAATATCAAAAAACTCACATTTTTAATGTTAAAGTTTGACTCTTATAAATAGCTGATAGGAAGTTATTATCATTGCAAATATATAAATATGTTATGGTACATTTCATCAGGTATAAAGCAAACCCGAGCCTTGCCTATTCAGGGCAAAGCAACAGGTTTGCTTTAGGGCAGGTTCACACCATTTACCAGATCTTGCCCGCAGGTCTGTACAGAGGCAGGAAAAGCATAGGGATAATTTGGGATGCATTTTGGGCCCGGGAACAATCTGGTCTGGGCTGGAGATTACCTGGATGTAGTGTGAATGGCCCCTGAGTCCCCCCCACCCAGCATATACTTTTCCTTCACACCCCCATTGCATCGTTCAGTGCCGGGAGCCGAAGAAAATACCCAATACTTCCACATATGGAGGAGCATGTGACTCACTCCATGTGACAGCGCTGGGCCAATCAGTGCTGTCACCTTGGGGGTATCCATTGCCCTGTGTAAGCTGCGACTCCATGGACTCAGTAGCTGCCACAGTACTCTCATTCTCTCTGGCTGAATGGAGTGGAGGGGGAGCTAAAAAAAATGTAAGTACAGTAGACATGTAAGCTGCAGAAAAATTCAGTTCGGTTCACATATTTCGTTATTTAGGAATTCAGGATTTGGATCCGAAATTCAATGCGGTTCGGGTTTCGGATTCGGACCAAAATCCGAATTTCTTTAGTATCAGATGAGTTTACGAATATTCGCTGTGAATACCACAGAAAACCATATACAGATATTAATACTAAAGCTGAATCTCCTGGACTCGAATGGCCATCGGGATCCAAATTTCCAAATTGCATTCGGGAGCTCCTGAATGCCATTCGGATCAGAGAGCCTTAGCGTTAGTAAGTCAGGTGAGTCACAATATCCAGTAATTTAAAAGAATGGATAACACAAACGCCATTCTATAAGATATAACATATGCGTGGTAAGAGAGACTGTTTTCATTTATATTTTTGTTATTGTTCCATATCCCTCATGGCAGTGCCCGACTTTCATTGCCTTTTGTTTTTCAATAGCTTGATTATTATTATCCCTTCATATGGCCAGAATTGAATAGTTCCCCCATCCCCTTTGTACTTCAGTAGGGTTTGGGGACATCAAACTTTGAGCAAGATTCTATAAACTGAACAGAACCCAGCCAGATTCACTAATTCCTAATTACACATACATTTGTTTCAGTAGACACCAATTATTCTTTTTCCTTGAAGAAAAGGTAACAAACAGCTGACTGCTTATACACTCTATTCACCAATTTCAGGATAATGTTTTGGGTCACAGCAGTGCAGGAAAGGAGTGGAAATGTCTCATTGCTAAAGGTGAGATCTACTTGCCATAGATTGACAGATATCTTCTCGTACACTCAATGTTCTTGCTACAGCTCACAGGTGGATGTAACATGTGGGCGGATAACTTCTGGAAAAAATCAGTATTTGCTCACAAATATATTTCCCAACATGTTGCAAAAACAGTTCAGTCCAGAAGTGTTTCAGAATTGATCTCTAGGGAATCCCTGCACAGTGCAATGTACAACATGTGCAATGACTTGTGCAATGGTCTGGTTCGGTCACTCTAAAACCACATCTGTGGGACCTTACAACCTGTATCAGATCTGTGTTGCTTCCCTGTTGGGGAGATTCCCACTTACTTCCTGTCCTCCAGTAACATCCGCCAGTGCGTCAGCCTGGCAGAATAGGAAGTGATAGGAAATCTCTACACTAAAAACCAAGCCAACCATAAAAAACTGACAAATGTTCCAACCATTCTGTACACTAAAAATGTCTAAAACCCAAGAAATGCCTGCAGTTGTGCCATGTGGTTGATAAAACCAGATACAGTATAATGTAATTCAAATCAGGAATATGTCATGCATTCAGTTGTTTGCTTTAGAACTGCTCCTCTCCTCAAACAAGTCTATGAGAAATGCAAAAGCAGCTAAGGCAGATCAAAGGCAGGTTTGAAGATCACCTGCAGGCCTGTCAATCAATTCTATATGATATCTGAAATCTGTCAAACTGATGTCAATGCATTGCTGACACTGACCAATATCATCATGTACTATCTGGGGAACCCGAAACAGATTCTGTGGCCCTGCTTGTTGATCAGACACATGGATTGTGCACTTTTGCTGTAGATAAAAGTTGGAGGTCTCACAATGGGATCTTCATGGTTGATGTTGATCCAATGGTTGACTTTATATTAAACTCCTGGCAGTTCCCGTTGCAGTACATGGGGAAGTGGCACTTCTTAGCTGCGGCAGCACATCCGAAGAGCCAGGCGCTGGAGATCTTCACGGTCATGGATAATGCCCAGTTCACCGTTCGGGAAAGCACAGAGACAGAGAAACTGGAGTTCACAGCATCCATCAGAGTGTGAGATAAACCGTATGTCTCTATCACCCTATCCCTGCTCTTTATCTGTTATTTTCCATCTGTCATCTCTTTTATTATAGGGAATAAATATGTAGGTCATACATAGGATGAGATTGTTGCATGATACAAAAATGATGAGTAACATTGTTTAAAAGTATAGGGAGCATAGACGATTGAATCAGGAGACAGTGACATTCTATTGTAGAGGTTGGATTCCCAGGTTCTTTGATAAGTCAGTGCCCCATGTTGATGTCACCCTTCACTTAACTCTACAGCCCCTCTTGGGGGTTAAAAACTCTGCCATGTAAATAAAGGATCAAAAACCACATTTGTCTTGGGCCCCCTAGAAAAGATAGCCCAACCACATTTTGCAGGGGACACAGGCATCAGAAAGTGTTGAATGTGATGGTTCTTGAACAGAGAGAAGATCAGAAGAACGGGTGGTGGGACAGGTGAGTATAAACTCTTTTTTGCAGGTTATTTAACTTAGCAATAGAGTCTTTTTGAAAGTAAATGTATAGTGGTTTTGTAAATTCTTTCTTTACTTTGGTCAAGATTGAAAAAAATATATTTTTTAGTCAAGCAAATATGAAATATTGTATGCTAATCATAATAATTATCATAATAAGTCAGCAGGTGGAGCTTTAGATCCCTTTTTATAAGGTTTCATCTACCTTTTAGCAGCCTGTTGAATAAAGCTGACTGTTTACAGACCTCAACAGCTCCAGCTGAAATTTGCACACACAGTTGGAAGGTACTCATCAGCAGCTACTCCTCCCTTATCTTATGGTGCAGGCCGATGTTTCAGGCAGACAAAGGGCTTCAAGGCTGGCACCCACAGTTGTTCTGTCTCTTTGACTAGTGCTCTTGGAGTCCTTTGCCATGTAGTAAATGTTATTTTTCAAATATTTAAACATAATTATTTTGTAATACTATGTATCTGATGAGTACATAAGCCTAGTGAATTTCTAAGCCCTGAATTCTAAGTCCCAAGCCCTGTGAAGTCCAATTTTACTGTCCCACTGTTCCACTTACACACAGGACCATTCGGACACATGGAGAATTGGTGTGGAATTCCTCTCACTGCTATTTAGCTTCGCACAAGAAGAGCAATGATTCTTCAGTAGAGAGCCGTGACCTTGAAGGAAACCTACACCAAGTAAAATGCTGACATCGCTAGTAGGGATTAGTCACATTCATCTGGACTTATTTTGTTGAAGACGTTTCACCGCCAATCCAAGTGACTTCCTTAGTTCTAATGTGTGTCAGGAACATACCCCAGCATTTATAGCTACATGTGTAACTCAATCACCTGGAAGCATATACAAAAAAAAAACTAAAACATAAAAAAAACCTAATGCAGCTGCCACATTTATAGATTGGTAAGCTACAATATACTATATTTTTGGATTTTGGTTTAGATACAGGTTTGAATTGTCATGTCGTTGGGATGTTAAAACAGCATTATATGTGGGTAACAGGTGGGGGTCAGAGGTTCTCAACCATCTAGAAATGGTTGTCCGAGTTTGACATAGATGGCCTATTTTCAAACCTCTTACAAACCAGTTGATCACTCAGTCCAAAATGTGCAGCTCATTGCTACAGATAACCCCATTCTGAAAATGCTAGTTGCCTCACGGGCATGTACTTTTTGGGTCATTGACTTGTAACATACCTGTAGCCAACTGTCAAAACTCGTTTTTTTTTAATAATTGTTCTGGGTTAGTACTTTAGAAAGTTTAAAAAGCCAACGTGACAACTAGGCACCCAGCAATTTGTAGAAGGAGAATTCAGGAATGCGAGAGGGTTAATGAAATGTGTACCCGCAGTTCTTCTTTGATTCTGTAAGCTCCAACAAATTGTAACTTTTAATTCGCCGTAGAACCCCATTCACTAACATTATATGTATATTCTGTAATGTGAATGTTGATCATCCACTTATACTGGTCTCTGTCTCTCCAGTAAGGATGGCTCGTGTGTTCCGCGTAGTTGGATTTACCTGCTGAACGAAAGTAGCAACGAACTTCGGACAGAAGGTGGGTGATCAGCACAGTAGTACAAACAGACCCCATCTTATCTAATATATATAAAGTGCTATGAGACTAGTTTAATTGTATCCTGCTGGCAGGACATCCGGACAGACTGACCAAGTTGTATGCCTGTCGTTGTCCAAATTGCATCATCTTGAAGGAAATCGATGACAGCACCGACAGACTCCTCCTTTACTGTAAGTAAATTAAGCCAACACAGAAAAATGGCTCACCAACCAACCTCCCTGCCCTGGCCCATCTGGTAGATGGTACATACTGTAGTTCTGCCTTACTATTTTGGCTATGAGAGAAGAACATCCTTATTTCACAGGTTAATTGGTGGCCACTTTTCCATTGCTGAGAAACTATTTCCCAAAATCCACTGGGAAACCGACACTTCCTGGAGTGTTGATCTCTTGGGTCCCCCCCCCCCCCAGGTCTCCCTTCCAGGCCCCTGGGGAACCACTTGGGGAGATTTGTTTCACTCTTAGGCAGTTGTTACCAGAATAGGTGTCCCCACTGAAACATTTCATTTCTATTACTGTTCTGGCAACAACTCAAATGTTTGGATGTTCCCTCACTTTCGGGTCCTGGTAACAATCCTCACCAGGGCAAACAGAGAGTAAATCAACCCAACAGGGACAAAGACAACAATAAAACCCCTCAAAACTCTATACAAAACTGAAAAAAAAAGTTTTGGCTTTAGATGCATTTTATTATCTGTTTGAGCTGGTGTTCCCGAAACAGGAAACAAATATCCATCTTTATAAGCTTTGTGTATAGTCATGATATATTGGAGGGCATAAACAAAAACATTATGACGTTGTCAGACAGTGGACTGCATAGTAAAAAAACAAATTACACCTGATGTGAACCCCATAGATTCAACACGCTCATGCCTATTACTGCACCAGTCCCTCTCCCTGCCCATTTCTTACCTAGTCTTCTTCCTCTCTCCTATCTTTTTCTCCTCCTTCCTCTCTTTCACACCTTCTTTCCGTTCATATGTATATCTTGTGTTCTGTTTCCATCCTTCCATTTCTCTATACAGAGCTTTCTTATGTGACCATGTTTTTTAACCCCACTTACCAGGGGTTCCATCCTCATCATTCTGTTGACTTCATGTCCAACGGTCAACTTAACAAACAGGATCCTGCTACATGAGCCCAACACTTACCCCCTGTAGTGCCACTTGTGGGCCTGCTCCCCATGTTTTCATTAATTATCCTGTGGAAAAAGAGCTCTTCAACCTCAATAGCTATGGGGATATTTGAATGGTCTTTTACAACATGCCTTTTCTTGTATACCAGTTAAATGTTTATTATCATTAAAATTTACACCTCAACACTGGTTATCTATTGTTTTTACCAGATTGTGATTCTAAAACAATTAAAGCTCATCATTTAGATGGACGGTCTACTTTACTCACCAACCTCTATGTACATTTTCTCCCTTCATCAGCACGCTCCCAGCAGTTAGAAGAAGGCTGCATGGATGAGTTCAAGCACAAATCTGATTGCAAAGGCTACAAAGATATTCTGTGGATTCCTCAGACTCTAGGTAATGGTTCCACCAATGATCATACTTGATATGTGATCAGTGTAGGTCAACTGATAATGAGAGTCTGTGAGAGTAAAGAATGCAGTTTGGTGGTGTGAAAAATGATGTATAGATGTTTTCTGGCAGATGTGGGCATATAATTATGAAAGCATGGTGGTTATTGTAATAACAAGGAATTTTGGCACCCTAACTGTGGTGTTTGTATTGACGGCCTCCTGTTCGATGAGTTGTTCAACCGCACCTAATTTTGATCACACCACACCCTATGTAGCATTATAAAAAGAAGGGTGTGTGTGGGTTTGTGATGTTAGATTTTCACCCCAGTGAGCGATCTTGGCCCAACTTGCTCTCAACTGAAATTGACTTTACATCGTGGCACCCAGCCTTTGTCCTCAGGGCTGTTTTACTGTTAAAGCGGAAGTAAACTCCGTTGGCAGAGTTGAGCTTTTGCCAACATTTGCAAGCATGCACAGCATACTCGCAGATTAGGGCACACATCTACCTCCTTCTGTGCTTTCCTCTAGCAATGACGGGTCCAGGATCCTGTTACCATTGCGTCCCCCTGATTCTGCCAATTGTTCAACCATTGGACGGCCACTTAAGATGTAACTGTTGGGCATGCAGGAAAAGTTTTCTATTTCTAGAGTGACTTTGCTCTTTTGTGGTGTCTTTCCCTAATTACACCTCTGTTTGTTCTTGCACAATGTCTGTAGAACTTCAGACTCCATATCACCCAGTGACCTTTCATTGCCGGTGCCTGATATAGGAATCAGAGAGATTGTGGTCCTATGTGTTGTAGAAGCCTATGGTGGCCACACGTGGACCGATGTGATTGTTTAGTTGATCATTCAATTCCAAGGAACTGAATAAAAATCAGAGACTCTGCGTTTGATCCATCGAGACAGCTCTTGATTTTGACTCGCATAGAACATCCATGGGTGAATTTCTGGTGAACCAATCATATTACTGGTATTACTGGTAGATTAAATACCTGTTTAAAGGAGAACTATGAGGTGAGTGATTTTCACTCATGCTCATAGTTCAAGCTGACCAATGAAACTGTCACACGTTGGCTCAATAGATGGGGAAGTGAGCGCACACATGCCGTCACTCGCTCACTTCTCGATCCTGTCCCTGCAGAGAGCCGTGACTGTCACTCACGGCTCCCTGCAGGGATTCCCCCTCCCCTGTCCGATCCTCCAGCGCTGACTGGCGGAACGGACGGGGGAGGGGGCG